GCGGTGGAGCAGGGCCTCCCCGCTGGGCTGAGGGAGCTTTAAGAACCGCAGGGAACCTGCATCGGTGCAGAGCAGCTCCGGGAACAAGAAGAAAGACACCAGTAGGTGGATGGAGGGCGGGGCCACGCCGTGGGGCGGAGCCTTGCTGTGGGGGCGGGGTCACGCCGTGGGGCGGGGTCACGCCGTGGGGCGGAGCCATGCTGTGGGGGCGGGGTCACGCCGTGGGGTGGAGCCATGCTGTGGGGCGGAGCCATGCTGTGGGGGGCGGAGCCACGCCATGGGGGAGGAGTCACGGAGCAGGTGCTTTGTACACGAAAGCTGGAGGGAGAGAAACAGGCGAGCGGCCAGGATGTGAATAGATGCGAGACGGCGGGAGGAAAACGGAAAAGAAGGAGGGGAAATCGTGTGGAGGGAGGGGTGAGGGAAGGGCAGAGGAGCGGGGAGATCTGTCATGTCTGCGGCTCACTAGCTGTGTGACCTTCAGCCAGTGACTTCCCCTCTCTGTGTCTCACATTCCCCATCTGCACAGCGACGGTAACTGCCCACGCCACAAAAGAGACGTGAGGTTGGGGGTCGCATAATAAACATCTGTGGAAGCCCTGAGAATAGTTCCTGGCAAATACGTAGCAGTAGCTTTACCGGGGTCGTTACGTTCATCATTACGGACGAACGTCAAATCAGGATCGGCAGAAAAGACAGAAATTGCGAAACATCTAGATGTGGAGGACTTTTTTTTTTCCAGAAACTCAAATAGAATAAAATGGGAGAGAAATATTTGAGAGGCTTAGAGAAAACCGTGGGAGCCATGGAACATAGCACAGAATGGGGAAAAGAGAAGTGAATAGAGACCTTTGCAAGCAGTACCTAAAAAGATTCAAGGAGATACAATTTTATTATGATGCAACTGATTTTCCTGTTCTGTTTGCTCTTTATTTTTGTTTTCAGGGACGTTTAATAATGAAAAAGGTGTCCACGCCCACAGAAGAAAGCTTGCCTAAAACAAAGGCTTGGAAAGGCAAGTTAGAGGGACATGCTCGTTAAAGATAAATAACCGGGTAGGAATTCAGGCCAAAAGCACCAAATCTCCACTAAAGGAGAGACTCAGTTCCATACTCACAGGCAACTGCCCTCAAGTCCCCCGGGGACGGGCCCAGGCGGCTTGTCCCCCGAGACTCGGAGCCCCTGAGGACGACCGACCTGCACGGTGATGTGTGGTTCCCGTCCGGCTGTGACAGCTCTGGCCTTGCTGGCGCCTCGGCCACGCGCTGGCTTCCCACGGGAGGGACGCAGGAGCGAAAGAACGGGGGACACGCGGCGGCTCTTCTATTCACGCCCGATGGCCCAGAGGGAGCCCTGAGCAGCAGGGGAGGGGAGGTCACGCCTCCCGTGGTGGGGGGAGGGTGGTCCTGCTGCAGGACGTCTGTTGATGCTACGTGTGTCCCAGGGAAGGGTTTTGTTCCCTGCAGGAGACGACTCTCCTCACACACGTAGTAACTCGGAGACCGAGTGTGATCCCTCAGGCTCTGCTGGAAACAGGCATCTTGTCAGAAGTCATCTCCTCACGGAGTAACCACCACACAGTGGACCAGAAGCCACGTTTCCATCCCACCCGTGGGTGGGCCTAAAGCTCGGGAGCGCCGTGGCTGCCGTGCAAAGAGCAGGTGACGCGGGCGATGGCCACTCGGAGCTTGTCCACAGGGCGGGGAGCATAGCGGGGAGGGGAGTGGGGAGCAAGCAGGTCTCCTCACCTTCGGGGCCAGGCCACGTGCTGTGGCTACAAGTGTCAGCAGCAATATGGTCTGGAGACAGGGCTGCAAGCCGAGCTGGGGGAGGGGACGTGGAGCAGCGGATGGTCACCGCTCAGGCAGAGAGCCCCCAGGAGCCCCCAGGAGTCCCCAGGGGTCCCCACATGCCCCCAGGAGCCCCCTGGAACCCCCAGGAGTCCCCAGGAGACCCCAAGAGTCCCCAGGTGCCCCCAGGAGCCCCCTGGAACCCCCAGGAGTCCCCAGGAGACCCCAAGAGTCTCCAGGTGCCCCCAGGAGCCCCCCCAGATGCCCCCGGAGCCCCCAGGTGACAACTTTGGTGTAAACGCTGTCTTGGCCAGAGGCACAGGAAACACAGCCGCCGGGATGTGATGTACTGGGGGCTTCTGTCCCAGGAAGCAGGAGAGGAGGACAGACAGAAGGATGCAGGGAGGAGGGAAGCCGGGAGGGCGCATCATCGGGCACCTGAGCCTTCCCCTCAGGGGGCAGCAGCGGGAGAGGCCGCACGGGTTGTGTCCACGGCCCTGGAATCCGGAGTGTCTGGTCCCAGCAGAGGAAGACACCACGTTTGGAGACAGGCCCTTTCCAGACGTGCTGGGCCCAGAAGGAATTCATACGGATGAGCCCTAACCCGTGGCTGATGTCCTCACAACGGGAGGGGATGGGGACACAGACCAATGGACAGACAGGGACATGGTGCACAGGGAGGAGGCTCAGTAGGTACCGGACCTGAAGCCTCCCTGATCGCAGGCCTCTGGCCTCCGCAACATGGGGAAGCATCCGTGGTCCACGTCGCGGCCCGAGGGCTCTGCCACGGCGTCCCCATCAGAGTCACGAGTCACGCGTCTTCCAGGACATTCTGTCTGGGGAGGGGACCTGCCCGGAGTTTACCCACTGCCTCTCGTGAGTCGATGGTGTGCCACATGGACGTGGGCGTGTGGATGCTGCCACGTGTCCTGATGTCCCGTGTCAGCCTCGGTGGGCGGGCACTGTGAGGCGGTGCCTGAATGAGGTCGGGCACCGCCGGGACACCAGGAGGAGAGCCACCAGAGGACCAGAGGCTGGGGCAGCGCACGGACAGCACGGTAACCGGGATGAGAAATGGAAACCACCTCCACACAATTTCAAATTATCAGAAGGACAACATTTGGGAGAAAATTAAAAGAAAGAAAAACAAAACATCGGGGTACGTATCCAAACGCCTTTAAAAGCAGACAAGCAAGAAGCAGCATAAAGATTAAACAGGACAAAAAGCGATGTCCCGGCTTCAACGTCACTCAACATGAGGTGGAAAGCAAGACTCAAGAGGCCAGCTCGAGCCCCCTGCTGCTAAGGCTACAGCCGCTGGGATCCGTCATATGTGGTATAAAAAAACTTTTTTTTAATGTTTATTTATTTATTTTGAGAGAGAGAGAGACAGAGAGCGAGCAAGGGAGGGGCAGAGAGAAAGGGAGACACAGAATCTGAAACAGGCTCCAGGCTCCGAGCTGTCAGCACAGAGCCCGATGCGGGGCTTGAACCCACGAACCATGAGATCATGTCCTGAGCCGAAGTTGGATGCTTAACTGGCTGAGACACCCAGGTGCCCCTGTCATACGTGTTTTTAAGTCAAAACGTGGTGACACAATTCATGAAGGAAAAACGACAGGAAAGAGCAGTGAAACGGGGAGAGACATAGCAGTAACGGGTCATTTGTCTCCCAGCCCGGATGCATCTGCTGGAACATTCATGAGTTGGGCACGCAGGAAGGTGCCCCCCAAAAACCAACCCTCCCTGCTCTTAATTTGTGAACATCACAGAATCAGGACAATAAAATACATGCACAATAAAACCTGTGAACGGAAAAACTCCCTCCCGGCATCTTCCCTGTCAAGAAACTCAAAGCAAGATTGCAGAGCATTTAAGAGCAAACATCAGTGCAGATGCTGGGTTTGATCCCCATGGGCTCCAGGGAGAGCCGTGCTCAGGACGCAAGTCGTGCTCTTAAATAACGACATTATTCCTTTTCAGGAATGAAATTAAAAAAGTGAAGGGCTCAGCTCCAAAAGTTGGGAGGGAGGGGAACCACCGAAAAGAATAAAATAAGCTTAATAAAAATAAGGAGGAGTTGCCAGAGACAAGGACAGAAATGGATGCATTAACAAGAGCAGAACCAGTAAATAAAGAGGAGGGCTGCTGCTTCGGGGGGAAGAAGCCATAAACTAAGTAAACCACTAGCTAATCTAATTAGGCACATAAAAAAAAAAAAAAAAAGAAAAGGCAAATATGTTAAAAGAGAAATGAGAGAGTAGGAGAAACCCCCAAAGATAAAATGAGACCATAGCCATCATCGCAGAGGCAGAGAAAATTAAAGTAGCTAATTTCCGCGGCCAGCACCCCGCCAGCCCCCCCGCCGCAGCGTCCACGGTCACGGTCACGTCCACGCGCCCTACGCCGGCCCCTCCCGCCTCGCCCCTGCCCTCCGTCTAAGGAGCGTGAGCCCCGAGACGGCGGCCTGAGGGCAGGGGTTTGGGGAACGAAGCCCCAGAAGCAGGAAAAATGTTACTAGTCTCACGCTCGCCGGTCGGGGAAAGCTGGGGGTGGCCTGACCTCGCGAACCAGGTCCGTCCCCGCCTCTGCCCAAGGGGGGGTCCGATGGTCCCGGGGCCGGGGGCGACTCTGCCCTGCCTGCCCCCTAGGGCTCCCCTGCCACGTCTCTGGAAGGTTCGCACGCAGGACCCTTCTCTCCAAAGACACAGCTTTTTATTGCGTTTACAGGCGTTCCCTTCATGTCCACACCTGTGGCTTCTTCTCCGTCCTCACCCAACAATCACACAGGAAGCCGAGGGACAAGCCCGCGAGCCGCCTACACAGCCTGCGGGTGACCTCGCGGGGGTGTCTGGGCTCAAGACCAGCACAAACTGCCGCAAACGCCTGGAAAGCTAAATCTGGAAAGAACGTTCCTCAGGACGTCAAAGGTACCGGAGGCCCAGGAAACACCGGAAGTAAATCCACCGAGGGACGTGTCTCCACGGCAGAGGGCCTTAAGCCTCCGCGTTGCAGCGGGATTGCCCGCAAAGCGTGTTGAAACACAGATCGGGCCTCGGGCTCGGCCTCTGCCGGCGGGGGTGGGGCCGGGGCTCCCGGGTGAGGCGGATCCGTGGACCACACTCTGCGGCCCGCGGTCTCCACCCACCGCGCCCCGGAACCCGGAAGTCCCGCCCCCCGCCACGTGACTCCTCCCCGCGGCGCAGGAGGCCGCGCGCAGGACGGCGACGCCGCCATGAGGGGCTTGGTCTGAGGGGCCTCGTCGAGGAAGAGGCGGCCTAGGGGCCGCGCTGAGGGCGGGGAGCGGCCGTGCCCGGGGCAGAGGCGGCGGCTGCGCGGCGCTCACGGCCACGGAGGGTCCTGCGGCGGCCCCGCTGAGCCCCGGGCCTGGCCACAGAGGCCACAGGCCGGCTGCGCGACCCCCTCGCACGGGGACGCCCACGCCAGAGGCGCCGTGTCCGCGACGCCCCGGGGCGCGGCCTCCAAAGGTAATTCGGTCGCTACTGGCCCGACGGCGTGGACGGGCAGGCCCGGGGCCGCGCCGCCCCGACCCTCACTTTGCAGGGGACGCGGTGCCTGCGACGCGAGGCGAAGCCACGTTTGCCCGTGTGCGCGTGTTCTGGTGCCACGCTGAGGAAGACGCGTGTTTCGACCCCCAGGCGGACGTGCAGCGGCCAGAGGAGGCCGGGCGCACGCGTGCGCCGGGATCTGTTCGTTCCGCTCTCAGGCTCCCGAAGCCGGAAGTCGCGCGGGCGGACCCGGTGAGGCCTGTCGGGCCGCCCTCCCTTCAGCGGCCGCGGGACTCCGGTTGGGGAGACGGTTAGTCAGGGAGGCGGAAGAAGTAACACCCCCAGCCCCCAAGGCAGTGAGGTCAGCATTCAGTCACTGGGGTGGTTCGTGTGTTTTCTCCAAAGGCCACGGTATTCAAGGGTCTGTTGTGAATACCGGCTGCGTAGGCGCCTGGCCGACAATTTCGTCTCCTGGAATGTGGAGGAAGAGCTGGGGGACCCCACGGCCTCTTCAGCCACCCCGACCTCCCTCCCCGCCCGGCCCAAGTCCCCAGCGCCCCGTGGGTGGCCGCGCGCTGCACCAACCCCGGGGTGCATCTAGGACCTTCCCCTCACCGCCCCTTGCTTGTTTGCCTCCTGTCCAGATCTGTTATGTATGTTCTTTAAAATAGGGGCGCCTGGGTGGCTGGGTCCCTTGAGCATCCAACTTCAGCTGAGGTCATGACCTCACAGTTTTTGGGTTCGAGCCCCACGTCGGGCTCTGTGCTGACAGCTCAGAGCCTGGAGCTGCTTCAGATTCTGTGTCTCCCTCTTTCTCTGCCCTTCTCCCGCTCACACTCTTTCTCTCTCTCAAAAATAAATAAACATTAAAAAATATATGTATATATATATATAAGCTGTTTTACTGGAGAACAACACACACATCACAGAGCATTTGTTAACGATATTGCACAGTGAGCACATCAGATCGCGAGATAGAACATCGTGAGCCCCTAGAAACCCTAGCTCTTCCCACTGGGAATCTTTCTCTCACTTTTTCTCTCTCACTTGCTCTCTCGCTCCCACACACCCCGAGTTAGTTTTGCCTGATTTTGAATGTTGTGTAAATGGACTCGCAGAGTAGCGTTTTTGTGTCTGGCTCTCTGTTCAGCGTTATTTCTGAGACTCATCTGTGTTACTGCAAATCTTGGTTGTGTGTCTTTTTCACTATTGTTTAATATTTCATGCTATGAATATGCTACAATTTGTTTACTCAACAGGATAAATTGAATAATGAAATAGAATGACTTCTGTGTTATTACTGGACTTTGGAGTTGCCTCTCATTTTCTCCACACCATGGTATCACTGCTGTGGGGATTCTTGTATGCACCGATGCAGGTGTAGGTGGGCAATTCTCTTGCTCATGTGTTGACAAGAACTGCTGGTTAAGGGTTTGCGTCTTCTCAACTTTGGGAAGTTTATCAAACTTTTTCCTAATGTGGATGCACAAACTCACCTTCCCATGAGCCCACAAGCAGTGCAGGAACATCGAGCTCCTCCACAACTTTGTTGTGACCGTAAGTCTCTTTTATCTTGGACTTCGAAGCAACAGTGGTTTTAATGTGTTTCCATGATTCCCAATGACTTGGAGTGATTTTCGGTTTATTGGTTATTTAAACATTATCATTTTAAAGCACCTATTCAGATAGTTGTCCTGGTTTTTCAGTCTCTTTCTCTTTCCAATTTGCAGGAATTCTCAGCATATTCTGTAGTGTCTCGCGTCAGTGTAGGTGTCAAAAATGTCTCTTCCACCCTGCTCCATCTGCTTCCCTCCCGATGCTGTCATTTCTTACTAGGTTAGCGATTTTGTGTCCTGTTTGAAAAATCTCTGCTGACTACGGGGTTGTGAAGATAGTTCCCATTACTGCATCCTAGAAGCCTTACAGGTTTCGCTTCTCTCTGTCCACCTATAACCCAGGTAGAACGCGTGTTTGTGTGTGGCGTGAGGTAGGGGTTAGCACTCGCCTTCCTCACGTGGCATCCAGCAGCTGGCGTGCCTGCCACGGGTCCACGAGAGCCGTCTTTCCCCTGCCGTGGCACAGACACGTCTTTGTCATGAGTCACGCAGGTGGGCCGTATCGTGGGTTTTCTGTATCCCTCGTACCAGTACCATCCTGTCTTAATTCCCACACTTTTATTTTTAAAGTCTTGATATCCGAGAGTGTAACGATCATGTACATTCTTAGCCCTTTTAATTCTGTGTGGATTTCAGAGCTGGCTTATCAATCTCCCCACACTCCCCAGCACCCTCGGGGAGTTTTACTGGTGTTACGTCGAATTTGGGGGAAAACTGATGTCTTTATAATGTTGAGTCTTCTGGCCCATAAACTCAGTGTGTCCCCTCATTTATTTAGGCCTTGTTTAATTTGTGTCAGTAATGTTTTATAGTTTATAGCTTACAGTTTTTACGGCAGAGCTCTCTAAAATTTTCAGTTGGATTTTTACATAAGCGTTTGGTTTTTTTATGCCATTAAAAGCAGTAGACTTAGACATTTCCCCCCCATTTGTGGCTTGCACGGAGAAACATAATTGGTTTCTGTACGTGGATCTCATGTCTAGTGACCTTGCTAAATTCGTGAATTTACTCTAATAATTTATCTGTAGGTCCTTTCAGATTTTCTAAGTATGTGATTGTGTCATTGGTGAAAAATGATAAGTCAATATTTTTTTCTAATTTCATGCATTTAGAAATATTTTCCTTCTTTATTGCCCTAACTAGGACCTCTCTGCTGAAAAGAAGTTTTGATAGTCAACTGTCCCCAAACTCCAGGGAAAAGCATCTAATATTTTGTTATTAGGTGTAGTGTTTGCTGTAGATTTACCAGTTTGAGGAGTGTTATTTAAAAAAATTTTTAATCTTTACTTTAAAAAAATTTTTTTATGTCTTTTATTTTTTATTTTGAGAGACTGAGACAGCGAGTGGGGGAGGGTTAGAGAGAGAAGGAGACACAGATCTGAAGCAGCTCTAGGCTCTGAGCTCTCAGCACAGAGCCCAACACGGGGCTCGAACCCATGAACCGTGAGATCATGACCTGAGCTGAAGCCGGACACTTAACCGACTGAGCCACCCAGTGTCCTTTGATTCTTCTTTAAAGTCAAAATGGATATTGAATTTTGTGTGCGTCTTTCCATTTATGGGGATGGTTATACCACTTTTCTCCTGTAGTCCATTCAGGTAGCAATTTGGACCTGGGGTCCCATTGCTAAGAGCCTGGTCTGTTTCTAGCTCGTCACTGGTCCTTCAACGTGGCCGAACTATAGCCCTGGCATACTTGTGGTGCTGGTGCCGCCTGAATTCTGATGTTTGTCCCCCTACGAGGCCATGGAAGTTCTCCACCTATCAGGTGCTGTTAGACGATGCTTCGATGTGATTTCTTTTGCCTTTACCCTCAGACACGTGTTTTAAAAATATGTTTCTTAAGAGAAGTTTTAGGTTCACAGTGAAGTTAGGAGGAGGGTGCAGAGATTTCCCGCAAGCCCCCCAGCCCCACACGCACAGAGCCTCGGCCGCCAGAGCTTGGCGCTTGTCAGAGATGACGGACCCACACCAACCCGTCATGATCACGCGAAGGTGATAACAGTGTGTGTGAGGGTTCACTCGGGTGTGCACAGCCCGGGGGTTTGGGCAAACATGTGATGACTTGTGTCGTATGGAGTATTTCCATTGCCCGAAAATCCTCTGTGCTCCCCTGTTTCACACCTCCCCTCCCCCCTTCCCTGTTCCCTCTCTCCCCTCCCGTCCCCATAGCCGTGTTCATGTCCTTGGGGCAGAGCCCCAAGTGTGAGGTCTGCTGGTTCAGGGCCTGACCCTCCGGAAACACTCTCCCGTGGGCCCCACGTAGGATTCCTGCACCTTCTGGCAAAGGGGGCTTGGCCGGCGGGGCCAGTGGAACACGGGGTTCAATGACCACTCGGTGCAGACTGTCCCCCTTCCTTTCTCACAAGCTCCCCAAATCCAGCTGGGACATGAAACACTGAATTAGTTCATTCATAGAATAATCTGTTGTCCAATTCGGTTTTGCTGTTTCCAACAGGGCAATTTTCCTGAACCGCGGCAGCTTATCTAGTTTTTCGATGGCTGCCCCGGACACCAACACCGACGTGTGTTCATGAATAATGGAAGAGGAAACTCCGCACGCTGAGCAGCAATCGGCCCCTCGTCAGATTCTCACGCCCTTCCCAGGCTCCGGAGAGGTCATCTGCATTTGGACTGTGGCCTCGGGGAAAGGTGACACAGTAGCGCGGTCAGGGACAGGATGGGACCGCCCGGCAGGTGGCTCCTCTCCTGACCTGGCGGGAGAGCCCGGAGGAGCACGGGGCTGGCTCGGTGTGACTTCCACGCGGCTCCACGGAGGTCTCCCAGCCTCGGGGTTCGAAAGGTCGCTGTCTGCGGGGTGGGGCGCCTCGCGTAACAGGCCTGGAGGCGTGTTCTCACCGACGCCACGGGGACACCTTGTGACTCTGCCTCTTGGGGATGGGACAAGGCAGGAGAAGCAGCCCGCTGCCAGTGGAGCGAGAGCTTCCAGCCCCGCCGGCCTGACGTGGACGCGGGAGAACACGGTGGTGGTGACGGTGCTGTGACGGAGCTCAGGGAATGGCCGCGGAGGAGACTGAGTCGGTGAGGAGGACGGGATTCTGGCCCCAGCCCGGAGCCCTAGGGACCTCCTGAGGCCACGCGGGTGGCGGGGCCAGCTGGCCACCGGCCTGGGGGTACGGGCGCTGCCCCACTGAAGACCCCGGGATCAGAGGTACCGGCTGCAGGGCTCCCGGTCAGGGCAGGACCCGCATCCGTGAGCTGCTGACCTGGACCCATGCGGGGCCAGAGCCTGTCGGGCAGACGGGGACACCCACCTCTGCTGGGGTCCTGCGGTCAGACACTGGGGGCCGTGTTTGGACGCCCTGGTACATGTGGGGGGTTCGGGAGTCCCACCTGGACCCGGGGAAGTGCCATCGCTGGTCTGGGGGCCACATGGGCTTGGTTTGGCCGTATTGAGTGAGTGCCTTCTGTGAGCCAGAGGTGGGGAAAGACACGGGCCGTGTAATTACAAAAGAAGCAAATGCCACAGAACTGGCACTTGGGGAACAGGGGTAAGAGAGGCTTCCACGTGTGTGTGCCCGCGCCTGCATGAGTGTGAGTGTGCACACACTAGTGTGCGTGTGTGCCTGCATGAGTGCGCATGTGTGCACCTGCATGAGTGTGCACGTGTGTGCCTTCACCTGCACAAGTGAGTGTGCATGCAAGAGTGTGCACGTGGGCACCTACACAAGTGTGCATGTGTGTCTGCATGAGTGCACTGTGCCCGCACCTGCACAAATGTGAGTGTGCATGCATGAGCGTGCATGTGTGCGCCTACACGAGTGTGCCTGTGTGTCTGTATGAGTGTGTGCATCTGCATGAGTGTGCATGCTCGTGCACATGTGTGGAGAGAATCCGGGCATTGCAGGCACACGTGGTTCTCACCGATGCTCCAGGGACCAGCGCCCAGAGCGCCCCGTGCAGGCTGGAGCTGGGGAGGTCGGGCCCCACCTGGGACCCTCAGAGCCGCCGTCCCGTTCGTGCCTCGTGTCCCCTGCCCTCAGTCGGCCTCTAAGTCACGGTGAGGAGGTGACAGACCTCAGGGGGAAGGCGGCCCAAGCGTAGGGGCGGTGAGTGGTTGAGAGCTGGAGACGACAGGCTCCGGGCGGCGGTGCGTCCGCCCGGCCTCGCTCAGTGCCGCGGCCCCGGCTTGACGACCCCCTGGCGGTCTGGGGGCTCCGGGCTGGCGGTGGGAGGACTCACCCTGCCAGACCGAGGGCCTCCAGCGGCGGCTCTGCTGGGCCGGGCACCCTGGCCCTGTTCCCAGGTGAGCCCCGAGCCGCCTGCATCCAAGCCGTGGCGCCTCGTCTCCCACAGGGTCCCACCTTGGGCATCTGGTCTCCTGACGGGCAGGCCCCCTGAGCCGGGGGAGTGTCAGCAGCACAGGACCGCCGCACACGGGGAGCCCCGGTCACCTCCGCTGGCTCCAGGAACACCGAGAACTCCGTGAACGCTGTCCGGATTCTCTACAGGCTCGTGGCAGGAGGGACGGACACGTGGAAATGAGCCCGTGTAACATGACAGGTGCGTTAACGGGAGACTTGAGAGTTAAGGAGTGACCTTCAGCAAGGTCAGCACAAGCCTTTAGGGATGAGGTGACACTTAAACTGGGCTTTGAAGGTGGAGTAGGAGTTTTCCAAGAGAGACGGGGAGGAGTGTTTTCAGGTGTGTATCTCGGAAGCATCCCGGCACCGCGTGTGTGAGGACGGCGGGAGCCCTGTGACGGTCCAGGCTGCACACGCGGGTGTCTGGGAGGAGGGCAGAGGAGGGGGGAGACCCCAGTGGCCTGGTGCTCCAGCGAGCTGAGGCCTCTGGGAGTCCGGCAAAGGCCACGCTGGAGACGGCGCAGGTCGGGGCTCGAGCGCAGCCGGAGCGGCGGGCGGGGGTACGGAGGCATCTGGGGGAACCTCAGCTGGAGGGAGGGCACTTCGCAAGGGATCTTTAGAGATTAAGTACGTCCTTTATCAAGACGGAGGGTGATGCGCCGCCTGCTCGCCGTGATCTTGTTTATCTGAGGTCCCTTCCTTCCCCAAATGGGACATAACACAGAGCTGCAATTAATTCTAAAATCCTAAATTGGCTTCTTTTCACTAGAAAATGGCCCTTGTTTCAATTAATTCCTATCCTGGAGAAGCAGCGAGGCATCTGATGGGAAGAGGAGTCGAGGGCACGCCGGCTGCTCCCCTCGACTCCTGGACTGTAGTCCAGTTAAAGCCACGGTGATGACAAGCCGAGTGGGCAGGGCTCTGGGCCCGGAGCCGAGACCCCGCGAGGGAGCCCAGCCCCCCACCCCGGGGCTCACAGGCTGACGGGGAAGCGGTAGCTGTGGGACTAACCGATGGACTGAGGTCCACAGGTCAGGGACAGGCCGTCAGGTTGGGGAATGTGGTCAGAGGGCGTGGGGCCCGGGCGGGGAAGGGCTCGCGGAAGATGGTGGAAGGTAAAGCAGGCTGAGAGTCATCGACACCTCTTGCCATTAAATCCTCACGAGAAGCCCAGGTGCGCGGACGAAGACGCTGGGGCGCAGAGAGGTGGGTGGAGAACACGGCCACTGCCGTTTGCCGAGCACCAAAGTACTAGTGTTTGCTGAGCACCAAGTGCTGCTGTTTGCTGAGCACCAAGTACGTGGCCTGCATTCTGTGTGCACACAGTACCTCATTTAATTCCTGCGGGTACCTGGCAAGATAGACATTTTATGCCCACTTTGCAGATGAAGAAACTGAGGCTCAGAGAGGTGAGTCAGTGGCAGAGCCAGGGCTCTCAGCCAGATCAGAGCTGTGGCGGCTTCCAGCAGCAGCACCCAGAGCAGCCAGAGGGGACGACCCGGGAGGGCGGGGACGGAGCGCGTGGCCAGCGAGCACTTTGCGAACCAGATGTCCTCGGCGAGGGCTCTAAACCCCAGCAGTGAAGGGCGCCCCGTGTTCTGGGCCGTTTTCTGGGGTGGCCTATCTCATGGACTGACCCCCAAGGCTCTGTTTCTCCCTTGAAAGTGACAAGGTGGAGTCAACTCAGGCCTGTGGCTTGATCACGTGGTTCCCTCCTCACCGGCCCCTGGAGGAGGCGGCTTTCCATCCGGATCCTGCCTGGAGGAGGAGGCTTCTCCTTGACCCTGAGGTGCTGCAGGCTCAGCCGCTGTGGATGCAGCAGCTGATGGGGACGCAGACCTGGCCACCCTGCAGGGGGACACGCGTACCCAGCCCGCCCGCCCCGAGCGTGCTCCCAGGGGCACACAGAGGCGGGCAGGGGCGCTCAGGGATGGAGCGGCGGCAGGAGCCGACTCGGGCCCTGCTCTGCCCGCCTGATCACCGAACGGGGAAGGGTTTCCAGGGGAAGGAGTCGGCTCCCGGATAGAACAAGGCCCCACTCAGAAATTCCGTGAGCTTTGGGGCCCCCTGAAGTGGGGGAAAAGAGAACTTTCTGATAAAGTCACAGCCGTCCTGCTCGGAAGGCAGTTGCCATGGTTACCCCAGCGTCTCCGGGGCTTTGTCGCTGGGGCAGCTGCTGGCTGGTGTTGGCCCAGGGCCAGTCTGCGCAGGGTGGGTAAGGGGGGTGAGGCCAGGGGCTGCACCACTGAGCGGTAAAACCGAGGCTTGCTGTGTGGCGGTCACGGCCCTACAACTCTCCGGGCGCGGGGCACTCACGCCTTGTTTCATTGAGCGTCACGGTGTCCTCAGGAAAGAGTGTTACTCCCATATTACAGATGTGGCAACTGAGGCCCCTGAGGCTCAGGCGCTTGCTGGATCTCACAGCAAATGGTCGAGCCGGTTCCAAGCCCAGGGACAGGCACGGACCCTGTTCTTCAACCCCAGCGTCCTGGGACTTGGAAGCCACTCCTCCCTGGTGGCGTCTTGCTGGAACCTTCTCCTACAGGGATGCTGGGCTTTCTTCTCCGGCCCCTGCCCAACCCACAGAGGCCGGGCGGGGTCACCCCCGTGAGCCACCGCCCGGGAGAGGCGGGCGCCTGGATGGCAGCAGAGGCCGATGTGGGGCCCGGCAGCTGCTGGCCCTCCTGCCTGACCGACGGCCTCAGGGCGGACGGGCGGACGGACGGACATTCTGTGTGGCTGTGCTCACCTGCTCCGTCCCAGTGAGCCGGGCCGGGACCGTGTCAATTCTGGTCTGTACCCCTCACCCGGGTTCCTGGCTTACTAGTGTTTTGCAGTCACTGACAGGTGTCCCTGCTGGCCCCGGGGACACGGGACCCAACACCAGTCCCTGCCCTCCAGGCGCCCAGTCTGCAGGGGCAGCGCAGGGGGAGCCCCGAGGCCCTCACGGTTTGTTTTGCAAAACAAGGAGTCGGAGGAAGGAGAGAGCGAGGACCGGCTTCACCCGGCGGGCGAGGAGGGTGTCTGCGCGGCGCCCGGTCGGGGAAGGGACAGGTGCAGACAGCAGCTGGTCCGGGAGCCCGTAGCGGCTGCGGGAGAACGTGGGTCCTGGCTGGCGCACCCACCTGTGGCTGGACCACACCTGCCCCGTGGTTCACGTGGAACGCTGGTGGTCCCCCCGGGCGTCGGCGTGTGGGTGGTCCTGGGGACCCCTGGCCAGCATGGGTGACAGGGCAGCGGAGAGAGAGGGCGCTCTGGGTCCAGGGAGTAGCGGATGCGAACTCACGGAAGCAGGTGTGCGTGGGCATCGGGGCGGGGGAGGGGGGAGGCAGGAGCTCGTGGAGGCCGCTGCAGTGGCCAAGGTGGGAGGGACCCAGGTGACTCTCAGCGACTCCCGGCCGCCAGGCCACCACCCCAGGGCCCTGAGGGAACCTGGTTCAGCCGCCATCGTCTGTTCGTCCCCCACCCAGCAGCGCCCGTGCTGGTCTGAGTGGTCTGGCCCAGGGGTTCGGGACGGGGTAGGGGGAGGCAGCTTTGTCCCCCGCCCACCACCGGGGACGCCCGGCAATCTGGGGGTGGGGCACATGGCATCCCACGCATAGAGGCCAGAGGTGCCACCAGACCTCCACCCCCCACGGTATGTGGACAGGCGGCCACGGCCGAGAGCTCCCAGGCCCCACGTGTGGGGGGTGCTGACTCCGGGTGCTGGAGAACTTCGTACAGGGACGGAAGCGTTCCGTGGCTCTGGATGGTCTAACGTGGCTGCTAACGACACGTGGCACCTGAACCCTTGGCACGTGGCTCACTGGGCCTGAGGATCCAGTTTCGATTTCTCTTCATCTGTGAAGGTAAACAGCCGCGTGGGGCTCACGCCGCCGTCGTGAACAGAGTGGATCAGCGTGACTCTCGTTCCATCCCCGGGGGGGGTCCCCCCTGAGTCTCCCCTTGTGTGGCAGGGTCTCCCTGAGAACGTCCTCTGGGAAGAGCTTGGAAAGAGGGGCTCGGGGTCACCGGGTCACTCTGCGCCAGAAAGTCCCGCCCGCACTCTGAGCCCGAGCCCAGCCCCCCGCCTGCCTTCAGGGTGGCTTCTCCAGGGCCCGGGGTCCCTTCTGCCCGTGGACAGAATCAGATAATCATCTCGGATAGCGAGT